TCATAAACTGGACACGTTTTAAAATACATTTACTTCACATTTCTTGGAAATATGTCTTTGTTTTTATAGTTTATCATTTTACTTTTTCTGAAGTAACTACACCTCAAAGAGGGACACGTGTCTAAATGACACTGGGCTAATCATAAATATCTTATATATAAAAAAAATACTTATATTTTCTTAAATTCATCTTTAAATTGCAAACTGTATTCCCTGTGCGTAAAATGTCTCTGCATTTTGTTCATCCAAAACGTCCTTGAACTCACTACTACTTCCTGTATTTTTGTACTTTTCTGTACTGTCTCAAGTTTTTCTATTATTTTTTTTTTATTTCACAAAGTGCTGATGTCAAATTTTCATAAATATTGCCCACACCACAACATTTACTAAGGAATAATTAGGAACACATAAAACTGTCATATGCACTTGAACACTTCGTGGACGTGTTTTACGCACTGCTCAATCCCGTGCGTTCTGCCTTTACGCACAGCTGTCTCCTCGGGCTGAGGAACAATCCGAGCTCCTAAAGACTTTACCTGAGCTCCATCAATATTTCAGCCTCTGCTTTGTCTGGACACGCGCGCGCACGTCCCCGAGCCCCCGGTCCGCTCGTGCGTAACAATAACGAAAGCGCGTACAATTACCGCCTTAATTAAAAGCTCCGCGCCGCTTTGACGAACGTCAGCTCACGTTTCCGTGCGTAAAACCCGCAACAAAAGGCTGCACCGAGGCCCGCGCGGTAAATAATTCAAGGAGAAGAATAATTACAGTATAAAATTGTAATTATTGTAGCGCGCGGGGGGGTGGCGGGAGGGGGCTCGCGCTGTGTAAGAGGAGAGCGCGCGCGTGGATCAGGTTTAGCGCATCAATATTAGAGCGGAGTAAACCGGCTCCGTGGACTGTGAGAGTGCGGCGGGAGCGGGGCAGGACGCGGGGGAAGCACGAGGACGCCCGCGGATCAGGTGACGCTAATTGCAAAGCAGAGTTGTCTCGTGCGCGCGCTAAACGGGGACAAAAGCGCGTCCATTACGTGAAATCCTTAAATAACAGGCCTGCCTCCGCGCGCGGGCAGGTCACGGTTTGGTGCAGCCCGGGGGCGTCTGGCTCAAGACACTGGTCACAGTGTCGAGTTATATTTGACCTGGAGTTAGTCAGGACTTGGCATAATCATGTTTTTGTCACAGGTTTGATCACACACAAGTAAAGCAACATGTGTTTGAAATGGCTCCAACATGGCCGACTCTCAAAAACAATCCCTTGGTTTTCTTATAAACATGTATATATATATATTTTTTATCCTGTGAAGGTCAGATGATTGGTCAGTGTGTGTAACACAAACCTGTTCACTTGAGTCGGGCTTTGTTCAGTCTGCACTGGTCATAGATCCGTGGAAACAGACTGGTCCTTTTTATATTCTATAAACTAACGAAAGTTCTGGAGAAGTGTGTTTTGTTTGTTTTTTTGGTAAGTTACTTTGCAAATATTTCGTGGCCTATAAACTGATGACAATAAAAATTGGTCTTTACTTTTTAAACTGTTCGTACTTTGTGCGGATCATTTTGACTTTGTGTAGGAAACATTTGGTTGCGTCCTGAGCGCAGACCGGTCTCTTCCTCCACTCAGTACTAACAAAAAAAAAAAAAGAAAAAAGAAAACTAACACTCTAACATTACAGTCATTATTGGACACTGTGAGTCTGTGGACCTGAACGTAGATTCTGAAATGGCTTAGTAGTAGTTGTACATATTTGGCCTGATTCACACTAATACGAACAAACTGAAGAGGCGCGCAGTGCAGATGCAGAGAAAACCTGAGCTCCTGTCACGCGTGGAGCTGTGACATTTTAGGCCTCATCAGCTCCATTCTTTACACTTAAGAGTTCAAAACCAATAGTTTTTACACCAGGCCGCTGTGCCCCGCGGGCGCGAGCTCAGCTCCTCGTGTGTGCGTGTTTCTTCTCCATGCGCGCGTGCTTTTCTGCTCTGTGTATGCGCGCTGTGGTTAAACGAGCCGCCATTGATCCTCTTATTAATAATAAATCCGTGTCAAAGCAGCCAATCAGCAGAGCCCAAACCACCGCATCACGCGCATTTTCTTCTCCTTTTTTACATGTAATTACTGGGCTCATCAGCTCAGCGTGCGCGCCCGTGTCCGTGCATGTGCGTGTGTGTGAGCGTGGCCTCGGGCGTCAGCAGCAGTGGTCCGTTCACATTCATTTCCACAGCTTCAGAGAAAACAGTTAAACGCCTCTTAATTATGCCACAACCGCTTTGTCCGAAAAACAACACACTTTACGCACAGACCCTGTGTTCTGAGCGCGAGGCCTGTGCGCGTGCGTGTATCCGCGTAACAGATGGTCGTGAAACATGATCAACGTGTGCGCGCGCGCTCAGTCCCGTCGCGGCGATGCCCGGAGAGTGCCACGCGCACAAAACCTGGAACCGGACCCAGTATTAACGCACCTCACCTTTTATCACAGATGTGTGTGTTTGGGTTAAACGACACGAACGCTTTGAACACTTTTTATATTTTCTACGTCCGGCCTACGCCGCGAGCTCAAATCACATGAGTCTGCAGTGAGTAAGAGCGCGTGCACTGGATGTGGCCCCTCGCATAAGTCTGTCCTCTGTTCAGTGTGTTCACACTGTGGCCGGGCTGGAGCCTGTGGGCCGGGAAACGCGCGCTGCTCCTGGGACGTAAAGATACAAATATTTACCAAGTCCTCTGAAGCAGGTGATGTGGGTTTTGTTCAAGTGCACTTGTGTTATAATGTCCACAACCGAAAAGATTTTGAAAAGTCTGCAATCAAACAAAGGGAAGCTTTGTTTCCAACAGATAAACTGGTGTATTTGTATATTTGTGTATTTGTATATTTGTGTATTTGTATATTTGTGTATTTGTGTATTTGTGTATTTGTATATTTGTGTATTTGAGATAAGCCTGAGCTCATGTTCCAGTGATGCAGTTTTCAGTGAGGAGCTCCACACAGGAATATTCTAGGGCATAGTTCACTTATTATGCTGGTTAAATTCTTGAACATGGTTTAAGTATAAATTAAAGTTTCAAAGTGCGCCAGGTCACGTGGAGTTATAAAATGGATGATTGGTCCTGATCAAATTTTAATTGTGGCATTTTTCATAAAGAAAAAAACATGGCACACTTTTGTAATGTCAGTCTTTAACTAAGAATCCGTCCAATGTCACAGAGTTCAGCGTCAGAAGTGAACGGCGATAAAGTGATGGCTCAGCCCTCGTGCGCGCGTATGTGCGCGCGTGAGGGGGGAGGGACTGAGGAGGGACCTGGGAGGGACGGAGGACACGGGGACATGACAGCAGAGAGAGAGAGAGAGAGAGAGAGAGAGAGAGAGAGAGAGAGAGAGAGAGAGAGGTGCCACGTGCCTCCTGAACGCGCGCCATTCCCCTCCGCGCGCCTCGGCAGGATGGAGGTCCGGCGGCTGCTCCACTGACACCGGCCCGGTGCTTTACGCGCGGATTTACGCTTCCACACTTTTGCAAACCGCTTTCGGTCCATTTTCTCCGGACTCACTGTGCCGTGGAGCGCGCTTTGGGACAGGTGCGTGCCGCTCTGTTTCTCTCTGTTCTGTAGCTTCATCTGGTGCTGAGCGCGGAGTGTTTTATATTTATTCTCACGCTTTAAAACAATCCACGTGTGTTTTACGGCGTTATTTGCTCTGCGCTTTTTGTGCGTAAAAGGCTTTAAAAAATTAACACCATTTTGTCATTACGAATACACAGAAAAAAATTAATTAAGCTGGTCTTTAATAATCCAATTAAATAATAATAATAATAATAATAATAATAATAATAATAATAATAATAATAATATCATATTAATACAAATAATATTAAAAATACTTTTGCCAATTGCAAAGAAATAATAATTTTATTTTAGTCTTTATTTGATGGAGTGACATTATGCTCATAAAAAACAGAAATGTTCCGCACCGGATCAAACCGACAGTTTCCAGCTGCACTCCGTGATTTACAGAAATGTACAGAAAATGATACAGTGCGTTTACATTTATAATGTCATATGTTTGAATAAAAAAGGAGTGATAATATGAAACACACACACATCTGAAATGCTCGTTATAAATGCTGTGCTGTGAAATAGATAATAATAGATAATAATAGATAATAGCCGATATTTAAAATAATCTAAAAGTGATTTTAAAACGCCGTAACGTGTAACGTAAACGTGTCCGCGTACCGCACGGAGCGGATCACATTTAAAGGAGCGACACTAAACACACTGGGGCACTGATGAAGACTCCTCTGTCCCGCTACGCCGACACACACGTTTTGTTGTTATTTTAATTTAAGAAGAACATCTCTAAAAAATAACCAAAGTATCAGTTGTGAGAGGGGAATTTTCTGCGTTACGCACACATGTGAAACTTGCATTGTAATATTTGGCACACGAAGCGTAGCGAACCTGAGCCAGGCCCGGTCACCTACTTCAGCCGCTGCCCGGCTCCTGTGGTCAGCTGCTTTAATTATAAATAGGACTCGTCTTTTATTAACAGAGGAGACGTGCGCTTAGATCTGTGTAATTACCAGGAAAGCGGCTTACGGGGCTCCGTGTGCACCGTTAAGAGCATTGGCGCAGCTCAGCCGCTCTTTCCTTCTGTCTCATCCTGCTCCGAGTCTTACAGCTCCGTAAGCGGCAGCTTCTGCCGTGAGCCGATTTACTCCGAGCGGATCCACTTGGCTCTGCGCACCGGGGCAGAGCTAGAGTTTACCAGTACGTAAGGTAACGTAACCCAAAAACAGCTATCGGCCATCACCAGAGTGCCATAAATATAAACCGGATACTAGGCCTGCAACAATCTAAAGGACAAAGGCTCGTGAAAAGGACACTTTTTATCTTCTATTGTAAAGGCCTAAACGCCTTTCCTCTCGGCAGCATAATCGTATTGTTTAATGTATGGTGATTGTTTTCCCTCGGGCCGTCTCTACGTCATAACATTGTGCCAAATGATCCCCAAAGCCTGTCTCGTGTAATTGTGTGAAGGCTCCGCGCGGGTGGGGTCACAGCGGGGCAGCGGCTCTGTGTGACTGACGTGTGTTCTCTGTGCGTAGGTCTGAGGATGGAGCCCATGGCCCGGCCGCTGGTGCGGGACTCCTCTCCCCCGCTCAAAGACTCTGGCCCGGGTTTGAAGCCCAACCAGGTGAGCGAGACGTCCCTGTACGGCGTGCCCATCGTGTCGCTGGTCATAGACGGAAAGGAGCGCCTGTGCCTGGCGCAGATCTCCAACACTCTGCTCAAGAACTACAGCTACAACGAAATCCACAACCGACGCGTGGCCCTGGGCATCACGTGCGTGCAGTGCACACCAGTGCAGCTGGAGCTTCTGCGGCGCGCGGGGGCCATGCCCATCTCTTCGCGCCGCTGTGGCATGATCACGAAGCGCGAGGCCGAGCGCCTGTGCAAGTCCTTCCTGGGGGAGCACAGCCCCCCGAAGCTCCCAGAGAACTTCGCCTTTGACGTGTCCCACGACTGCGCGTGGGGCTGCAGGGGCAGCTTCATCCCCGCGCGCTACAACAGCTCGCGGGCCAAGTGCATCAAGTGCAGCATGTGCAGCATGTACTTCTCCCCCAACAAGTTCATTTTCCACTCGCACCGCACTCCCGAGGCGCGCTACCTGCAGCCGGACGCGGCCAACTTCAACTCATGGCGCCGCCACCTGCGTCTCACGGACAAGAAGCCCGCTGACGACATCAGCCACGCGTGGGAGGACGTCAAAGCCATGTTTAACGGAGGTAGCCGTAAGAGGACTCTACCCCCCTCCCCGATGAAGACCCACGTCTCCTCTAGTGTGGAACCCCGAGCCGAAGTGCCCCACAAAAGCATGCGCTGCGAGGACGAGCCGGGGCCAGGGGCAGGCCTCGGGGGCGCGCGCAGCTACCCCGTGATCCCCGTGCCTAGTAAAAGCTTCAGCATGCAGCTCCAGAAGCTGCCCCCGCCGCTCTTCCCCCCGCCCTACCCCTTCCCCAGCTACGGCCTCTGTCCCAAGAAGAGCGACGAGCCCAAGGCCGTGTCCGGGCTCCTGTGGCCCACGGCCAAGGAGCTGTACCCGGCCTTCCCGGTGTTCTGGCCCGGGGCCGGGGGGCTGCCCATGCCTCCATACCTCGCCTCTCCGCATAAACCCCCCGTGGAGCTGAGCGCGCGTCAGGAGCTGGACGACCCCAGAGACAGGAGCCCGCCCCTGAACCTGGGCCCCGCGCACGAGGAGCGCTGCTCCAGCTCGCATTCCTCGTGCACGCGCACTGACGATGACCGCTCCGGAGACGAGAGCGCGCACAGAAAGATGAGCTACGTGTCCGCGTTCAGGCCGGTGGTGCGGGACGCGGAAAGCATCGCCAAACTGTACGGCGCGCGCTCCGGGCACGTGTCCCCGGACTTCATCAGTGAGGGCTCGAGCCTCAGGTCCGCGTCCCCGGAGCGGGACACAGAGGACACGGAGGACCCGGATGTGGACGTGGACGAGCCTCAGAGCGCGTCTCCGGACAGACTCTCACCTGGAGTGGAGGCCCTGCCAGAGCGCGTGCACAGCCCCGCAGCGCCGTGCGCGGAAGAGTCTGCGCACTCCGCGTGCTCAGAGGAGGACAGACTCACGCGCTCCGTCTCCACGCCGCACGAGGTAGGCCCAGAGTAAACGACATTTTAATGGCCCCCGAGGGCCCCCATCAAAGTCCAATCAGCGCTAAACATCGCTGTGTGCGCGAGCCGAGCTGTGGTCAGAGGCTCGGGGCACGTCCGCGTCTTTGTCCGTCACAAAGAGATTAAACTTCAAAGATAAAAATAAAGATCCTAGTGTAAAGCCAGAGCACTTGAACGCCGCGCCACGGAACAGATAATCAGCTTCTGATCATAACGAGTGTTTGGCGCTGATTGGTCAGAGCTCGTGTTGTGATCAGGTCAATTACGTGAAGATGTTCCGAAATTACACATAATGACCGTGCGTCATTACGTCTTTGTGCGTGTCATATTACAGGTGTACGCTGCTGAAAAGGACGGCCACGCGCTCCCCCACGAGCCCCAGTCATTTGGAGGGAAACAATTGAGATCCAACGGTGACTATTGTTCCATTCCGAGCTGTTACGCGCATGACTCTGGCCTCACACTCACGTACGTGTGCTTGTGTTTAGGACTGCTCCACGTGCCTGACGCACAGAACCAGCGCAGCCCGGTGCAGTACGAAGAGCCCAAGACCAGAGCAGGTGAGCGGGCACGCGTGTGAGCGCGCGGCCTGGGTGTCATAAACAGTGATTTATATGGCGCGCGTGGCTTCTGTTCCAGATGGAGCTTTACGCATAGACATCAGTGTGCACGAGCGAGACCTGGAAAACATGGCCAAAGGTACGATTCATCAAGACAACAAGAAGGGTATTTACAAATATTTAATTATCAAATAATGTCATTTTTAAGTTTGGTCACATTCTACAGACCACAAGCACAAACACAACAATTTATACTAAAAAAAAAAAAAAAAAAACAGGAAGGGAAATAGGCCCATAATAATAATAATAATAATAATAATAATAATAATAATAATAATAATAATAATAATAAGTATTATTATTATTATTATTATTATTATTATTATTATTATTATTATTATTTGTAAATTGTACATTATTGTGAGCTCATAAAAATTTAACTGAAAACATCCGTAATATTTTAGAATCCACACACTTTTTTTTCATTTCTGCAGATGGCCTCTTGAGACGTACAGTCTGATGTTCAGACCCTGTATATTGTTGTGTACGTTGAATTCATAAACTCGCACGGGTCATTAATTAATTAGAAAAATGCTCCAAATCCATTGTTTTTATGGCCGCGCCTGTGCCATCTTTACGCACGCTCCGCGCCCACGGCGCGCTAACTACGCCGTGCCAACATTTCGCGTTTGAGCATTTCCATTTGTGTGAGCCTGGAGTGTTTCCTAGTTGTTAACCACTTAATCACAAGATGTGGGAGTTTTGACTTGTTATTGTGCGCACAAATCGTTTAGAGGCTATTAATATTTTAACGAACACCGCCATAAGCCCGAGGCGCGCCAGCTAATTATTTTACAACGCTTGGAAAAACCCTGGGACTCCGTTATTATGCGCCGCAGCTCCGGGCTATGCATGGCAATTACCGGAGCAGCAGCGAGAGGCTGGAGCGGCGGCGCGGCACTTACCGCGGCTGCGGAAGCGCACCTGAATCCTCCGCTCCCGCTGCATCTGTGTGCACTTCCACGGCCGTAAAGACGCAGCGTGGGATTTATAAGAACCAACAACTGGAACATGAAATGCGTTTGGCTTTTATGTTTCCATTACGCTGCGTAAAAATGCCCAAATCCGCTGATGGCGTCGGTGCTGTGCAGAAGACGACGCGACACTTCAGTGTAATTAAAGCCTCGAACGCCAGAGATAGAAATAAACAGGAGACTACAGCGTCGGTGCGCTTCTATTAATTAAAAAGGCAAATTACTGCAAATGATTTCAACCTTAGATCTTTTTCCGCGCGCACCATTTTACAGAGCGCGTCTCAGTCGTGCACAGCATAGGCCCGGACGCGCTGGAAACACTCTCAGGCTGCGTTTAATGCGGTTAACATGATGAACGTTTCAAATGTGCCGTTAGAAAAGAGACTTGAAAACTTCTGCTAAACCTTCAAATAGAACTGATGCACGCACGTGGATGAAAAGGACGTGTTCTAAATATTGTGGCGATATAGTTCCAAGAAATTGTACTCAATTTGAAATGTAAAAGGAAAACAAAAAAACAAAACAAAATCACAAATATGACATTATATCATGTGGGTGTGTTTTGTCTCCTCTGTTAAAGCGAATAACGTCATAATTTGATTTTAGTTAATGAGGCCGTAATATGAAGCCTGTCTTAAGAGACCTTCAGTTCAAACAGGCCTAGTACTGTAGTCATATTTCTTTAGGCCTCAGTTTTAAAAGTGTCCAGTCGGACTAAAACACTCTGAACCAGTTTAATTCAAAATGTTTCTTCTTCTGCTCTAAATGAAAGTTTAGAGCCTTCACATAATTCACATTTAACATTCCAAACCATTTCATTTTACACAACTAATGACCTTTTATCATCGTTTATTTTTGAAACAATTCAGTGTGACTGTGTTTAAACCATGTGCATGTCTGTGTCCACATGAAACTACAACTACCAAACTCCAGCGTCATGTCTGAAATGAACCTCTCATCACCGGGTCTTGGTGTGTTCTTCAGTGTAGTGTTGTTGTCATGGTGATCATATTTAGGGTTAGGGTAACACATGTCTTTATCTTAATGTCGGGACTAAAAACTGTACACTCACAACATGGAGACGACATGGAGACCTGCCCACGCGTCCCAAACAAAAAATCCAGCACGTTCCAGATAAGAGTTCAATAATGCAGGTCAGGCCGACTACTCTGCCCTACAAAGACAAAAGAGTTTAACTCTCCAGAGTGTGAAACTGTGAAAAATGACTTAAAGTTTCTGTTTTGTCCAGACAAAAGTAGAAAAGGCAAGGCTCCCAAAATCTGAAAACTAGTTGCTCTAATGAAGAATTATTTGTATGTGAAAAATATTGAGCTCAAAATTGACCTTTGACCTTATTTGTCATTTCCTGTTCTCTGTCTTTGTATCATGAGACTAAAATAAGTTTTTGTGCAAAGGCCAAAGGCAGAAACTGACATGATCATTATTATTTGCTTGATTTTCTCCAGATTTCCAGCCATTATTAAAAAAAAAAAAAAAAAAAAAAAAAAAAACAAAAAAAACGTCACCAAGCTCCAGTCATCATGTGTTTGTTTGAAATGATCTAGAAGAGTTTTGGATTTCCTGTTTAGTTCTGATCAGGATCGTGCGGCGACACTTGACTCTGCAGTAAAGTGTGTACAGTATGAATAAATACACACAATACTTCACATTAAATATCACTGAAGTATAATTGAATACAAAGTTTTATTTATTGAATGTGTTCAGAGCGTGTGCCAAGGCCACAACAAAAAGAAAGAGGCCAGAGGTTGGATTTTAAAATCAAATATATTTATGAGCTAAATCACAAACAAAACATACAAAGTTTCTGCTTTTTGTCTTTGCATGAAAACTTATTTTAGGCTCATGATACTGAGGCAGGATACAAGAACTGACAAATAAGGTCAAAGGTCAATTTTTAGCTCAATATTTTTCACAATATTTATTCACATGATTAAGGCGTCTCAAATACAAACAAAGTGACATGAACATGATGTTACAGTGTTCTGTCTTGAATGATTAAAGTGTATATGACAGCTTCTCATGTTTTTCTAATTCTGACTTGGTTTGTTGCGTAGGATCTGTGGTAAATGTGTAGTAAATATTTATCATAGATTTATGTCATTTAAGAGACAGTTTGTGAAGAAAAGTTTGGAAGAAAATAATATACAGGAAGCAATGATGAGTTTAAAACAGAATCCCTCTGCTTATATAATAAATCATCAACACAAAAACCTCCATCCAAAACACTGAGACAATTTATACACGAGAAAGGAACTTTTTCACAATTTAAACAAGACATGTCAAACTCAGGCCCAGGGGCCAAATTTGGCCCGCGATATAATTATATTTGGCCTGCGAGATCATATGTATTAGAGGTGGCCTGCCGGCTACTAATTTATTTACAATTTTGTTCTTATTTTATATTCTGCTTGTTCTAAATTCAATTTTTAAGCAAAACTATTATTTAACATTTATTTTAAGAAAAGGTTTATCATTACACATCTCGAAAGAAGAGAAAACATGCAGATGTTGCTGAAATTTTTCAATAAATATTTAGATTGGCCCACAACTTAGTCCCAGGTTTTAATTTTGGCCTCTGTGAGTTTGAGTTTGACACCCCTGGTTTAAACCTTCATCTAACTAAATAAAGTATAATCATAACTAATACACTATTTATGCAAGTTTTGGTCCTCTGTTTACATTATGGTTGCTAGGTAACAGTTATGGAATTAAACATGTCAGTATTTGCTGCCCCGATCCAACCTGGAAGTAAAATTATAAACTTCACCAAAATGGTCAAACCAGGAAAAACAAGGTCACATGTTTAGCTCCATCTTGTAATTATGTGAAACCCCTTTGGCTGAAACGTGCGCTCTGACCTGTCACTTAGAGGTGAGGACCTGTCTCCAGGAAGTGAGAGGAGCTGGATTCAGTGAGAAAATTTGGAGGAAGAGCAGGCGTCATAAAGTTAAAGTCAAACAGCTGGACTTAGTTTAGAAGCCGGTGCCTCCCCACAAACCTGAGCTCCTTCAGGGCTCCTCGTGTCGGAGACTGTGACTCCACACCACACACATGCAGCATCCTGAAGCTGCTTAGAAGCAAAGAGTCCTGTAACGTTTGTGAAACAGCTGGATCTTTTGAACGGTTCCCTAACGTGAACGCATGGAACCGGATCTCAAAACAAAAATGAGCACAGATGTAGAGTCACACGAGTGAGAGCTTTGTGCACAAAAAAACAGATCTTTTTCATCGTCATAGAGGTTACTGTTTTATTCTAAATCATTATTATTGTAGTACTACATTTTATTTGTATTTTGCATCATTCCAAAAGGCAAACACACTCCCACTCTCAGTCTGAACCATTTGAAACACGACTGAGCCTTGGACATTTCACTGGGATTAGTTTGTCGATAAAATGACTTCTCTCTCTGCTTCTGTCATATAAATATTAACAGAGACAGTCTTTTGATCGGCTTTTTGCCATGATAAAATCTAAAAGATTTGGAACGATATAAGAGCCGCAAGTCCCGTCACTTGGAGCAAAACATCAGCTTCTAAAACTAAAAAAGTCCAGCTGTGTTAGTTTGACTTTTTCATAGAATGAAAGTCCATGTAATGTCCCTAAAGATCCATGAGAAATCTTCACACACACACAAGACTTAAACCGGTGGCTCTGTTTTGACTGATACAATGTCATTTTTAACAAGACTGTCATATGGAGCCCATTTTAGGGGAGACGTATTTGATGTAACTAGAATATTTATAGATGTATGTATAAGTGTGTCGGCCTGTTCCACAAATGGACCCAGAAGATTGTGGACCAGATTTGACTTAGTTAGAATTTTTGATATAATCTAAGTCAGTGTAACCTAAACTATGTGTGTATGTGTGTGTGTTTGTGTGTGTCTGTGTGTGTGTGCGTGCGTGTGTGTGTATGTGTGTGTGTGTGTGTATCTGTGTATGTGTGTGTGTGTGTGCAGAGGAGCTCCAGAAGCAGCTGGTGGAACAAGTGGAGCTGAGGAGGAAGCTGGAGAGAGAGTTTCAGCATTTAAAAGGTACACACTTTATAAAACTATATATGTTTGTATGTGCGTGTGTGTACGTGTGTGTATGTGTATGTTTGTGTGTGCGTACATGTGTGTGCTGTCGATAGGTAAATGGATTCTGTTGTATTACCCGCTGCTACTTGTAGAACATGAGCATCTGTCACGTGTCGTGTGTGTTCAGACTCACAGGTCTCCTCCTCCTCTGCTGCTGCTCAGACTCATCATAGTGAATTTTCACAAGAGCAAACAGGAGATTTTTTTAAATTTTATTATTTTTTATTTTATATAATTTATTTTTTCACTTGCAGTAGACTTTCACCAAACTCAAGTGTACATTTACTCCACATTCTAACAGCACACATGATGTGTGTGGTTGTGTGGACTTTTGAAACATTCACACTCTGACTCTTACTACTGTTGATTCCACTGTTTAGTCGGGCTGTTTGTTAATCCTGTTTTCACTGGAACAGTCACATGTGACAAGATCAAACTAGGGATGATTATTTTATTAATTTTATTAACTGTATTAATTGTATTAATTTTATTTAAATTCATTTTATTTCAGGGACAGTGCACATTACCACACACACATATCTCCAACATTTGTCTTGCTGTTGTGGTTAATATCAAAATCATATTAGAAAAGTTTTAAATTAACAAAATCATTTCTCAAGAGAAAATAAAGTGCTGTAAATACTCAAATGTACTTTATGAATTTTCACTTATTTTACTGATGTCCTGGTCAGAGCTGAGAAAAAAACTTGAAGTCATTGAGAATTAAGATTGTGTGAAAAACAAACTTTTATTCCTAAAAATAAATGTTTTTCTTCACTTTGTCAGATAATTTCCAGGACCAGATGAAGAGGGAGCTGTCGTACAGAGAGGAGATGGTCCAACAGCTGCAGATCGTCCGAGGTACACCTCTCTCTCTCTCTCTCTCTCTCTCTCTCTCTCTCTCTCTCTCTCTCTCTCTCTCTCGATCCATCTCTACCTCTGTTTGTCTTCTCTTTGTCATTTCCCCTTTCCTCCTCTCTCTCTCCTCCTCCTCTCTCTCCACCTGACATAGATCAATGCTCCTTATACTTTATTGGAAAACAGTAAAGTGACACTTGTGTATTGAGATTTGGGCTTTGTTCCTGTAAACAGCAGGCATATTTTTTCCTCTCTCTCCTTCTCCATGTGACACCCAAACCCTGTGTGTGTACTTTAGTGTACTTTAGTGTAGTTTTGTGTACTTGGTCAGGTGCAGTTCTCCTAAATGGCGGTGTGGAAAAGTCAGTGGACAGTGTGTGTATCACTTACATGCAGCAGACAGGCTCTAATGTGAAGCCTTTAGAGCCACGGAGTCCAGTTACACCACTTTAAATAAGACTCCAGCACACAGGGGTCACACAGCACGGGTCACACACGGTCCACTCACACACACTGGACACACACAGCACAGGTCACACACGGTCCACTCACACACACTGGACACACACAGCACGGGTCACACACGGTCCACTCACACACACTGGACACACACAGCACGGACACACACGGTCCACTCACACACACTGGACACACACAGCACGGGTCACACACGGTCCACTCACACACACTGGACACACACAGCACGGGTCACACACGGTCCACACACACACACACTGGACACACACAGCACGGGTCACACACGGTCCACTCACACACACTGGACACACACAGCACGGGTCACACACGGTCCACTCACACACACTGGACACACACAGCACGGGTCACACACGGTCCACACACACACACACTGGACACACACAGCACGGGTCACACACGGTCCACACACACACACACACTGGACACACACAGCACGGGTCACACACGGTCCAGACACACACACGCTCCATACACACGGTCCACACACACACACTGGACACACACAGCACGGGTCACACACGGTCCAGACACACACAATGGACACACACAGCACGGGTCACACACGGTCCAGACACACACTCGCTCCATACACACGGTCCACACACACACACTGGACACACACAGCACGGGTCGCACACTGTGCTCACACATACGCGCTCCATACACACGGTCCACACACAGCATGGGTCACACACGGCCCAGACACACACACTGGACACACAAAGCATAGGTTACACACACTCCACACACACACACACTGGACACACACAGCACAGGTCACACATGGTCCACACACACACACACACACACTGGACACACACACACTGTCCACACACACACACACGGTCCACACACACTGTCCACACACACACACACGGTCCACACACTGTCCACACACACACACACACACACACACACACACACACACACACACACACAGGTCCACACACTGTCCACACACACACTGTCCACACACACACACACACACACGGTCCACACACTGTCCACACACACACACACGGTCCACACACTGTCCACACACACACACACGGTCCACACACTGTCCACACACACACACGGTCACACACACACACACGGTCCACACACTGGTCACACACACACACACGGTCCACACACTGTCCACACACACACACACTGTCCACACACACACACACGGTCCATATACTGTCCACACACACACACGGTCCACACACTGTCCACACACACACACACACGGTCCACACACTGGACACACACACACACACACACTGTCCATACACACTGGACACACACACACACTGGAGGTGTACAGGAGCTCTATCTGACTGTTACTGTGTTAAAATGTGAAATAAATAAGTATTTCATTTCTGAATGTTCTAATTATTCACCATGATGAGTTTATAGCTCAGAGATGAAAGCAGTTATGCTAACATACATTTCTGTACTGCATGAAAAAAAACAAAAAAACATCAGGTACAAACCCTTGAATTTGAAAACATTCATGATTGTGCTGGTGCAGTGGGGACACTTTTCAAAAGGGTTTTGAGGTGCTCTTTAACCCTGTTCAACCCTGTTTGTGTTTTACACTTATGCAGTTCCATCCAGATTTCATAAATCAAACTATATTCAAAATATTCATGAACTAGAAAGCCTAATAAATCACAAGAAATAAAGAATGTTTCACACATTTACATTACATTTGCATGACATTACAGTTGTTTTTGTTCTTTCTTCTTGTTGTAACAGTTTTCTTGTAACATTTGTTGTTCTGTTGTAACTGTTCCCTGTGTTCCAGAAGCTCACGACGCTCTGCACCATTTCTCCTGTAAGATGCTCAGTCCCCGACAGTGCACCGGAGCCTGCACCTTCAAGCCCCCTCTGCTGCCCCCCTGAGGACAACCCACCCACCACCGGCCCCCTGAGGACACCCGCCCCCTCTGCTGCCCCCCTGAGGACAACCCACCACTCTCTACCGGCCCCCCTGAGGACAACCCACCCCCTCTGCTGCCCCCCTGAGGACAACCCACTCTCTGTCGGCCTCCTGAGGACAACTATTCCACCACTTCTCCCTGAGGACAACCCACCCACCACTGGCCTCTGAGGACAACCGTCCCCATACTTCCCTCGTGAAGACAACTGCCCCACCACTGGCCCCGTGCTGCCCCTGTACTGCCCCTTGAGAACAACCCACCCACCACCGGCCACAAGAAGCATCCTACCACCATCCCCACAACCAACCTCACAATGACCCGCACACCACCGACCCCTGCCACCCCTCTAAGGACAACCGCCCCTCCACCGACCAGTACCCACCACTCCCCATGTTGTGCAGGGTGCTTCTGTAGACCAGGCTCTGGCATATTAGATTAACTGCACTGGCCCCACAACTCACTTCACCGGCCCCACGATACTCCCACCCCACCTCACCGGCCCCACGATACTCCCACCCCACGGCCCCGCTCTGTTCCGGTCAGCTCTGGACAAAACAGTGGACCTCTACAGACTTTTTCACTCCCCTGAGACACTGTAACTCTATGTGACGATGTGCAATGGCTGGTGTAGACTGTGTCCTAGCAACGGTTTGCATTATAATCTTTTGATGTTTTTAGATTTATTTAAGTTTATTTATGAGTATATTATTTATTCCTTCTCATCTCTGTGTCTGTGTGGTTTAAGCACTTTACATTTCTGCGTTTGAGAGACTGATACCAAATGTTGGACCTATCCACCATGAAAAGACAATAAGGACAATACGAGCACTTACGATATGAAACCTGAGACGTGGATGGTGGCCCCAGAGGACAGTTTTTAAACTTAAAGCAAACTGCAAATGCTCAAAGTGACAGTGTGCTGCTGCGGTTTGCCTGAGGGCCACTGGAGCTCTGAACATAAGGGTGGATATGGGTTTTTGAATAGCTCACATTCACGCTTTCTGTTGTTTCTGGGAAAGCGGTCACTATGGTGCAGAGGTGGCAGGTGCAGAAGTGGACAGGTGCAGAAGTGGGCAGGTGCAGAAGTGTGCAGGTGCAGTGGTGTTAGATTGTCCTCATAATATAAGCCAGAGGACTTGTGTGCTGTTACAGACTCACATCTGATGCACAAATATCAAACAGCATGTTGTGCACATCTTTTCATTCTACCAAAATTGTTACATCACATGTAAAATATGACACAGGGTTACTGCGAATTTACGTCATAGTTTGTCAAAAATGTTCTTAAATTGCACTTTTCTGCTACAGGGTCAGCAACTGCATGTTGTCATGGAGATGATAGAGCTTTACCTGAATATTCCACAGTATAGCATTCACCCTCTAGCTTTATTGTACATGTGTCATGCTGTAGTGACATTTTTAGGACTATTAAGTAATCTACTATGATTTTAGAAATTTAATATTTAAATGAACTCAGTTTCTCACATGTTGAACTGACACTTGCATGCAGTTGATTCCAGTTGTTTTGATGTGTGCACAGTTTTACTTTTTTGTTGGAAAATGAAGCAACAGAAAACAGAGGAGAATTAGGTCATAAATGTGCGCTCTATTTTTATCGCTCTCTTTTCTGCACATTGCTAAAAATATAAAAGGAAATGGGGGCTCCATTTTATCTATATTACATGAGTTAAATTACAGGTGTTTTTGTGAAAATACCTTTAAAAACTTAAAGTGTTACTGTGGACGGTGTCGACTCTACACAGATCTGACTTGGAACCGGCCTGGTGCTACTTAGCTACTACCTACTTACTTAGATAGTTATGTTTAATGTCATACTGTGGAATATTCCAGACAAAGCAATAACATCTTCACATGTGTGAGCAGGTGCAGACTCATGTTGTAAATCTATTCATGTGTTTCAGCGTGAGCAGTTTTTCCCATTTAAATGTTATATTATATAGTCTGAAATTGTTCAGTATCACTATGGCAACGCTGAAGACCATGGATACAGAACTTTCTTACATTGTATGACTTTACAGGTGTATGAATGTAGAAAAGGATATACATAGTAGTAGTAGTACTAGTACTAGTACTAGTAGTACATGTAGTCCTGATGTGTGCCCACTGCTCACACTCACCCGTATCTGTCCCATCTACACACTCTTTAAACAACCACTGCACCACTGCCACTGCACCTGCCCTTATTGCTCCTGTCACCACTTCCCCTGCCACCACTGCTCCTGCCACCACTGCTCCTGTCACCACTGCTCCTGCCACCACTGCTCCTGTCACCTCTGCACCTGTCACCACTGCACCTGTCACCACTGCACCTGTCACCACTGCTCCTGCTCTCACTGCTCCGTCTCTTCTGGATGTACTTCTGTGGATATGCCCATGTGGATATGATGATGATGATGATGATGATGATGATGATGATGAATAAAGTTTAAAGCCACTTTCTGCTTTACTCTGACAAACTGTGCTCCTGTGTTCTGTGTCACACTACCCCCTACAGGCTAGTATCTAGAACTGCACCTTTCTATTGTGTTTGGAGTTTGGAGTAAATTAGAAGGTTCTGGATAAATCACAGAGGTGTTGAGTTTTATTTACAATGAAAATGGTCATTAAACAAGGTCGATCTAAGCCATGTCTAAATTAGGACTTAAAGCTGCACTGTGTAACTTTCTGGAGGTGGCACATCTCCTGTATGACTCCATGGAAATAGAAAAAACATACATTCAGAACATTCTCCATGGAGAAGATGAGTTTTACACAACACTGTAGAATATTATAACCAAAGGAACAACATTTCTATGGAAACAAGCAGCAGAAGGCCCTAAACCAGGCCACATAGAAGTCAGGTTTGTGGAGATGCAAGTCCCTCCGACCACAGGCACTCACGCTCACACCACAATCATACTAGACAATGTGGGTCAAATGTCTGATCTAAGGACACAACATCAGTTTCTTCCAACGGCGCCCCCCTGTGGCCGTGGTCTCCCATCCAAACACTAACCAGCCCAGACAGAGCTTCAGAGGTCTGACAGGTCACACTTCAGCAGGTCAGCACGGCATGGTCACATGATGTACAGAGGTCATCTATTCTATGACAGTTGTGCTCCTCTGTGTTTTTAAAGTTCATACACTGTCAGCACATTTTCAGACATGGGAAGCGATCCAGAGGAGTGGCTGACCCTCCAGTAGAACAGTTCCATAGTTTGGTTTGTATAATGTCCACCTGTGATGTGTGCCCTGCTTCAGTTTAGTTTAGAGCACCTGACCTGACCACGGCTTATCTATTCTCTATCTGCCTATTCTTATCATTATCATTATTGTCATTATGAAGTCCAGATGATCCGTGACGCCTGTTGTCATGGATATGACTTTGTTATGTTCCACAATGTGAGTGTGCCCCGGGGGTCCTCTGTTGTGTCAGGTTTGTATGTCATTGTGTAGCACCTGTGCAGAGTGTGTGCTCCTGTCTTTGTGTCCACCTGTGGTCAGTGCACCTGCCCCAGTCTGCAGCTGCCACACACACACACACACACAGACACACACACACACACACACACACACACACACACACACACACGTATACACATTGACATTCAATTCTTTAAGATTGATCGTAGACTTAAAGGGCCTGTACCCGATTTTTCCGAAGTATTTGAGCAAAATGTGTCTTGCCCCAGTACAGTTATATTGTGTCAGGTCAAAATAAGTCTGCTGTGCTCTGCAGCCAATTAGAGTGTGTTTTATTGTAGACATTAGCATGATAGTTGCTGTTACACTGGTCTCTCAGGGTTGTGTGGCATTTGGATGTTATGGATGTATAAAGTACGTGTGGAAGAACTTTAGACCACTACAAACCGTTAAAACTGAACTAGCTCTGTTTTTATGATGGTAAAAGTCAGATACAGCATCTTGAATCACAGTCACTGCTCGCCTCACCACAACCTGAACTCTAAACTTAAACTATTTGAATCTAGATCTGAACTTTAAAGGGGGATTTGATTTTTTTTCCCCTAAGAGAAGCAGGTCCCCATAATGTCAGTGTGTATGCAGGTTTTATTCCACACAGTGTGATTAATACTGGCTGGTCACACACACACGCACACACACACATATATACACAAAAAATTCAGACCACAAAAATGAAGAGTCAATTGCAAAAAAGAGCACAGATTTGTTTTTGTCGGCTTTTTAAACTATGTGATCAGATGTATTTCCAACTCATGGGTGGGGTGGGTGGGATGGGATGCACTGAAAGGAGGGTTAGGAGAAGGTGGTATATTGTTTTTAATGTGTGTGTGTGTGTGTGTTGAATGTAATTGTTTGATTTGTTGTTGTAATTGTACAGTGATGGTTTGATGCTCGTGTCTGTTGTGTTAACAGAACCTGAATACCAAAATGAAATTTAAATAAACTTAAAGCCGCACACAGTGTGATAGGCCCTCGCCCCCCACAAGACCACGGGGCACATGCCACCGCAAAGGCCCTGCCCACCGTGCCCGCCTACATCACCCCTCCCTCTAACATCAGTGGATATATGTGTTTGTTTACGTGTTAGTCCAGTCTGTCCAGTGAGAGGATTTGTGAAAGTGTCGTGGTCACTCGTCTTCAAAAAGAAATGTGTCCTCACTGATGTTTTTGTTCAGTGTAGCAAGAAGGATGTCTGTGCCAAATCTGAATGGTCAACAACACAATCAACACAAAAACACAAACACATAAACAACACAAACACATAAACAACATTTTCCAGAGGAGCTGTACAGCAGTTTTATGTCATGGCTCTATATAATGTACATCATTTCATTCAGGTCGTCAATGCACACAAATGTTCCACTGGGTCAGAGTCAACAACATGACCTGTGAGAAATACATGTTTGAATGCTTTTCAAAATGGCCATTGTTTTGTAACAACATTTATTTAAAAAAAAAATAAATAAATCTAAACAATCA